CTTCTAAAATCCTACTTTACCAGCTACATAAGTGGAAATCCTGTGTTAATCACTTGACAAAATTTTTACATCTATAAACAAACTAAACCTTATATTACAAATGTTCATATATTTTGCATCAGCAAAATACACATTAGTAATCAGCTATAATTCATTAAAAAAAAATTTTTTTAGTTTAAGTTTCAAAAATTAAGAGGGAAGTCAATTTCATGACTGCTATAGTTTAAAAATCTCAAAGCAATACATTACATTTTAGTAATTTAGGGTAAAAGTTTTTAATGAGAAGCAAGAAATTTTTTTCACCAGTTGCTGGCATGTTATAAATAAATAAAAAAAAATCAAGTCTTGTGAATTAATATGAGAATTTTGAATTGTTATATAAAGTTTCCTTTTCACACTTCTGATACTGGGAGGGAGGGAATACATGTAATATGAAATTTATAACACTCATTTGAATTTTACAAATTGTAGGGCATCTGCCTCATTACAGTGGTTGGGACAAATTTTGCTTTGTTGGCTTTGATAAGTTTTTAGACTTCAGGTATACTAGGTTTTGATATTGGTGTTATTAAAGCCAATTTCACCATTTTCTAATACTATCTGATTAGGAGTTAGCACTGAAATGAAAATTCTTGGTCCAAATAAAAAGCCCTTAAGAAAAAAGATTCTTGTTTTCTGAGAACGTTTATAAAGAAACTTAATCTGTAATGGCAGGGTGATCTTTTTTTGTCTATTATAAATTAAAAATTACAAATAAAATATTACTTGCATAACTTGACAAGCACCTTGCAAAAAAAAAAAAAAATATCAGCAAAACTTTAAAATATCAAGCCATTGATTGGTAAATTGGTTATTGTACTTTGATTTAAAAAACAAAAAAAAAACAAGCCTAATTCTATTTTAACTGGAGGCACTTCATTATGAGGCTTATGCTTAATGAGCTAATCTGGAAGACCATTACCAAATAGAGTTTAATTCTCACTGGGCACTCCATACTTTTAGCCATTTACCAAAATTAACCTTAATAGGATAAGGTGTATAGATAAAATTTTATGTTACTCAGAGAAAATTCAATACAAAATTTTAGTATTTCCATTATAAGATAAAAACTATTAGTGGTATAGTTATCATCTAACACTCATCTAGTATTGGAAAGGGTGGGCTCAAGGTACTAAGTAGTTTATACCTTCCACTAGAGTTGTAAATATCTCACAGGTATATTACTTGCTGAATTTACTATAATCAGTTATTATAAAATTAGACAGGAAGAACAATTACCATTATTGTACTACTTGATATCATTGTTAAATTTTTTTTGTATTTTGAAGTTACCAATGCATACAGGCTGCACAGCTAACTTAAACCACAGGTCATAACATTGAAAAACAATATCCTGTAGCCTACATTCTTGAACTAAAACCCTATGGAGAGGAGGGCTACCCAGATGAAAATCAACATGTTTTGTTTATGCTTTTTCTTGCTAAATTATAAGTGTGTGACAAATGTGAGAATGTGGTATTGTTCTGAATATCAGAATTAATTTTAAGCTAGTAATGTTTTAAACCGCCACCCCTATATGTGGTTTGGAAATTTATATCATGCTGCCTCAATAGTTACCACCCTTTATACTGCAGTTACTTGTGAACTTCATAATTATTTCCATGGGCTTCAAAGCTACATATGATTTTGCAATTATTTTCAGATTGGTTATCAACCATGGCAAGAGAGTCTTATCTGATTTGCTATTTAACCCTTAGCTGGGGAAGAAGATGCATATTCATACCTTTCACAAGGATATTTGTGCAAAAGCAAGTGACAAATTCAAATTGAGATTCAAACATGGCTCACCAATTTGTTCCATTAAATTACCATTAAGCTATTGGTCATCCTCTTCCATAGTCATACTTGCAAAGAGCAACAGTTCTATCATTTCTGGTAGGGGGGGGTGTTTTGTTTACTGGGGATAAAGTTGGATATTTCTGACCAACACCATTAGTAGCTTTAGTCCAACTAGAAACCAGGATTACAAATGCTGATTTTCAAGGCAGTCTTGTAATACTGACAACAATCTACCAACCTCTACCTACCCCATATAAGGTAGGCCAGAAAAATGAAAAAAAAAAAAAAAAAAAAAAAAAAAAAAAAAGTTATCTTTAATAAGGTTCCCTACCCTGACCATTTTATCCAACTACTGTAAGAATAGCAATCATTGAATAATAAAAAAAAAAAAAAAAAAAAACAACATCAAGCATAGTCCCAGGAGTTTTATCATTATCCAATCCTCAGAAGTACTTTATGTAAACTACGCATTCTTTTCCATCAGGATGGGGATGCCAAACAATTTAGAAATTATTCATGCCAAAATAAACCCAAGAATCTGGTACTTTAGACAAATAAATCTTAACACCCTCATGAGAGGAATGTTTGAAATAATCATTTTGCTATAAGATACTTCATTCAAGGGAATGTTAGTGGTAAGGCAGATAATGAGATATCACTTCTTACTCATAGCATTATCAAATTTAGTCAGCATTTAGGAAGTGGGTCAAACAGAACACACTCAGGTCTACAAAATTTGCAGCAGTAAAACGGATCACGAGTAGTATTTCGTTGTAATACCCAAATTTCGTTAAAGGATTGTCATCTTAAGATACACGACTATATCTCAACTTTCAGTCATTTTTATAGCCCATTTTAGACAGTTTTTGGTTTCCATCCAATCCTGTCTTCAGAGAATAACTGGTTATAAAGCAGCTACTACAATTTTCCTGAGAAAAAAAATAATTTAGGTTTATTTTCATAGCTAGCTTGACTTTATAGCAACTGTTGGAGAGCTGAAATAAAAAACAAAAATATGAAACAATGAAATACTCGTCGACATGAAGAATTATACTCAATCGCAGAAGTTATTTCCCTTGCAAGTTTTTCAAGGGAGATCACTCTGAGAGCAATTTCTTTTAATGAAGAAATCTTCACGACTGGTTCCACCTTTAGTAGATTCCATATCCACATTACTAATGATTGTCAGTGAAATTTGTATCTAGTGTCAAACGTTAATTGTAAGCTTAAAATCCGCTTTACGCATATTAACTAAGTGTACCTTTGTTCAATTAAGTCAATCACTTGTTGAGAAGTTAAAACTGCTAGCATTATTATATGCTTGCAATTTTACAAAGAATTGAAGGCATGATGAAATAATCAGGGTGCTCATCTCAAGTAATAGGCTGTACTGGGGCACAGGATACTAGGAGGAAGGAACAATACTAGAGAGTTAAGCATACTACTACAAGACTTCAATTACATTCATCACTGCTGCTAAAACTGGATGTGCATAGAATATTATTAACTTTACAATGGAGAGGAAATGCCAATTTTAATATTCTTTGGCAGGACTAAAAATATCTACACAATTCTGCTAGTTTTAACCAATTTAAAAATTTTGCATTAATTATCAATATACAAGACATTAAGAATGTTATCAAGCACATTTCCAACTTCAAAAGGCTTTTTTTTGATGTTAAGAAAAAAGTGAATTCATACATTTTTTATCAATGTTGATTACAGGTTTTTTTTTTTTTTTTTTTTACATAAATGTAAAAAGTTTATGCTACTACACCTGAAAAATAAAACCATTTAAAGCAAATACAGGTGGGAAGGGAAGATACAAATATTTTACATACTCTTAACCTTTAATCTACTGATCAAGTATCAACTTGACAGCTTATATCAGTCTAGCTGACAAGTAGCCATTTTAGAAAGATTAGTTTGAGGACAAAATATAGATAAAAGATTAGAAATTGAATTTTTAGAGACAAGAGAAAGAAAAAGGCAGAAATAAAACAAATTGTAGCAGTTATGAGGAAATGTAAACCTATGAAATCTTAAGTATATAATTCAAAGTGCAACATTTAAGCCTTAGAACAGTGATAAAGAGGAGCCTAGAAATTTCTGAAAATTAAGAGCGTTTCACTTTGAAAACTAGAGTAATATATATATATATATATATATATATATATATATATATATATATATATATATATATATATATATATATACACACACACACACCCAAAGCTTAAACCAAGAAATATTCTATGAAGAAAGTGTTAGGACCATAATATGAGTACACATGCCAGCAAAAGCAGTAATAAAAGCATTTTTTTATAACTCACCTTTGGTGGATAAAGCAGCTCTAGGAGCTTACCCACCACCTCAAGAAGGCCTCCAATAGTAGCAAAGATAAAAATTGGACTTCCAGCTATGATCTTAAAAAAAAAAAAAAAAGTCTTACACTTTCTGATGTACTCATCTTTTGCCAATATATGTTACTAGATACTTCAGAATGTAGAGACCATTTTTCCGCATCAATTTTTTAAGGTCACTAAAAATACATTCAATATCCATCAAGCAGTGGGAAGGAATAAGACATCAAGCAAATCTAAGTTCAGAGTTACCAACATTTGTTTGCTTAAAAGAAGCCATAATACACTTTAAATACAAAATAAAGCCTTATAGTCAGAAACAACTAATTAAAAGCACATCCAAGACAATGAGCATTTTCAATTGTGCAAAGTTTGAGTTATGAAAAACTCAAGTCAGATATTATAATTTATTTCTTTATTTTCTTTCCTTGATATGATACAAATTGTAGGGGTGGGGGAGATTCATTTTTAGAGAGACCCCTCCACATTTTCTTTTACCTCGATTGACTTAACAATATAAGTTTCTATAGATTTTTTTTTCTTTTTAGAACTTGTTAATATTGATTTAATTTAGATAGAAAGAAGTGGAAAGGGGGAGTAACTGGAAAGCAGACTCATCATACAAATCATAAGATTTTTTTATAGGCCATGAGCGTGTCTGAAGTGAAGCGGGTTAACTAATTTAGTTTAGATATATGTATTTTTATAGTAAGATGAGTAACTAGTATAAAGACTTGATGATATGTGAGAAGGGTAGAGAAATAAGATGATAGTCTTAGAACTGAATGGGTTGAGACATCACTTTGTAGTTGTGCTTGGTGTTGGAGGAGGGGTAAGAAGCATATTACCAATATCAACAGAGTCCGAAAATGATTTTTGGAGAATTGTCTGTGGCGCCGAAGGGACAACAGCAACACTCTTTTTGGGTTGTTTGACAAACATATTCTGGTAATGATGATGGGTGCTCAAAGCCATAGTTGGGGGACAGCGTGGGTATGCAATTAAAGTCGCTTTGCCTTGCACGGGGGGACTTTGCGGCTGGAGAAATTCGTTACTTAGTTCGGCACTATTGCTGCTAGCAGCATCCAGATTATCGCTAGCGGAAGATTCAACCTGGAAGTTTTCCATGTATGGAGAAGATTCTAAGCTGTAAGGATGTGCAGACGAAGGAGCATAAAAGACCTCTGGGGCATACTGAACACTCGGGTAGTTAGTATAGTAGTAAGTCGGGTTGGCGCTTACAAACTGGGTAGCTGCTGACGAACTCAGTCCCCAGTGACCTGCTGGTAGCCATTGAGTTGCACCAAGCGGATAAGAATACGCAGCTGGTCGAAGATAGGCGGCGGCAGCTTGTGGTTGTGGAAGTACCACTGTGCCAGTAGAATAACTAGAATTTTGAGCATGAGCTGTTAGTCCATAGTTGTCATCGCCAGCTGGATGAAGGAGTGTCATTCCATTTTGATAGGCATAGCCTAAGCCATTACCAAAATACATTGGTGTAGGGTCATTAGAGTCAGCAGGAATCGTGGTTTGAGGAGTAATATGTCTTTTAACAGCGGGTCCTATGTTTAATCTCCGGTTACGAAAATATATCGGTTCACTATCTTTAGACACGAGTCGTTCGGCGTCTTCTTGTTTCTCGAAAGTGATAAAAGCGTATCCGCGAGATGCGCCGCCTTTGTCGGTAATAATTTTGGAGTCCTTCACAGTGCCGTAAGTGGTGAAGAAGGACTTCAACTCAGTTTCTGTAGTGTCTCTGGGTATGCCACCGACGAAAATCCTCTGCGGTATGTAAGTACCAAATTGGGCACCGGTAGTCACAGTTCCACATGAACTTGCCATCACTGGTCCCGGAGTGATGAAATTAGACGCACTAGAAGCAGCAACAGGAATCGACATGGTAAAGAAAAAAAAATTAAATAATAAATAATTAAATAAATATATTGACAGGGATTAAGAGAGACAAATATATAAATTTTTAGTGATTGTTTGATATTTCTTTATAAAGTTTTCGTTTTGTTTTGTCTTTTGTTTAGTTTTTCCTTAATTAAAGGAAGCGTGTCTCAATCGTCTTGCATAAGTAACCCTCTAACCTCAAAGGATTATGGGAACGCCATTATTATTTATAATTATATTAAAAAAAAAAAAAAAAAAAAATAATGATAAATGTTATGATTGTTATCCAATCCCCAAATTGTTACGTGTTATTATGCAAATTTCTAAATACTTCTCGCCAGTGAAAAAAAAATCAGTTTTTAACTTAAGTAGTAGTAGCAGCAGTAACCGCAGCTATATACATAAGTAAATGTTAAAACTAAAGCAAAGTAACAATTATCGACGCTTTCTTTTCTTATTTAAGGCGACAGCGGACGACAATACATTTCATTTAAAGTGGTTAATTTCGATAGTTTTCTTTTTCTTACATCAAAAGAAACGTAAGTGGGAATAAAATAAATATATTAGTAGTACTAAAGTATAGATAGGATAACAAAACAAATTACTTACGTCTTTTAGTAAACAATAAAGTCCCTTAAAAGTACATACACCAGCTTTAAAACATTTTTAACGTGACTAAAAAAACTATAAGTAAGACCAAGAAGAATAGTTAACTTTTTGTTTTGCAGTTATACGTACATTTTTTAAAGGGTTTCCTGAGTTACACTCTCGTCCAAGTGACACGCAAGCACTTATAGAGCCGTTCCTCGAAATTATTCACCCTTGATCGGTTTGTAATCAAAATAAGGTAAGCAAAGTCCATGTTTGTATTTATAAACCACATGGTTTGAAACGACCACATGTTTTCCATGATGCACTCCTTCAAATAAAAGGGTGTAAAATATATTTTCTATATTTATAAGAACTACTACTTCTAGTGCCAAATATAATCATTTGAAAAACAAAAAATTCTTAACAAAGTAACTTTATTTTCATAAAGTTGCTCTCAAGTTAATAAACTGAATATATGCAAACTGTGTTAAAGTGAGACAATGGTGCATTACGTAAAGCTATCATAAGTAAGGGTGACCATAGGTGAAATATAGATTTAAAATTATTTTGATTGTATTGTAACTATACCAGAAGCTACACGATTTAATGAAAATACTTTAATTAAATTCTTATATATTTATAAATGTAATTTATAATATATCTTTGAAGCTTTGTTCGATGTAAATCTCGAATCGACTTAAAAAAAACTTCGATTGTTTTGATTCTTGTGGCCAATCATACAGCCTAAAGATAACTGTAACATTTCGGTATAATGTATTTTTTCTCTTCATTTTTTTCTGCTCTTAACAGATAGCGCATTTTAATCATAAAAATTTAGAAGCGTTTCTAATTTGAAAAAAATATGAAATTATTCTTCGTAATTTAAAATATTTGTAACAACTGCTGAGCTAATATGTGTCTCGTCCAATCAGATTGCTTTTCAGTCTACAGTCCGTGAAACGATTTTCACCTTAGTGAAAATGAAGTTGTATCAAAACATGGCGGACAGCGACTATTTCATTGTCGGAAGCCGAATTTCTTGTACAACGCTTTACAATGAAAAGATGGAAGGCGAAGTGGCGGCTTTCGACATTGGCACAAAATTATTAATTATTAGTATCCTTTTTTTTAATGTGCGTAGTTTTTCTCTAGTTTGTTGCTACATTTCTCTTGTTGTGTTCATTTACAACCGGTCTTGGAGATAGTGTATTTTGTCTAAATGGGCTCAAAGTTGGGGATCAATTTTTAATGCTTTTTAATATAAAATTGATCCCCCACTCTGTCAAGATAACATGGTCAACGCACATGGTTTATATCTGATGTCGTAACTTGTTTTGCACGAAAATATTTACGTTTCTCATACAGTAAATTATTTGTCGTTCCACTTAGAAAATGTAGAGTTTAAAAACTTTGCTGAGAAAGACTTTTAAGATTAAAATCTTAAAGGCATCACTCAGCTGAACCACGTCACTTAATTTCTTCTTTTTTTTTTTTTTTTAAATATTCTAGTGACAGTGTACTGTAAAATGACTTTATTATCATCATCGTTACTACTAATTATTACTATTTCATGTACTGTTTAATCTTTTCCCCTTTTAAACTTAGTACTGAATATATTAACAAATGTATCTACTTTATAGATTTAGCACTTGTAGATATTTTTAAACTTTGGCATACCGACCCTAATCTGAGAGGTAAAAATAAAATAAAAAACCTAATTTGCATTGGTGCCTAAGACTTAATTTTAACCCAGTAAAGGAAAAACAATGTTGTCGACTTGAGTTTTTTTTTCTTTAACAAAAATACCCATTTTTTTAATATCTAGTTTTAAAGAAAGAAATCGATTCAGTTAACAAAAATGTCACGTTTTTCGTTTGGAAATAACTCCTAACCAACCAGCTCTGGTAAAAAACACTATTGTTATGCTATGCATGTTTCGTTTCCATGTGTTGACAGATGCTTGAAATGTCATCTGTTAAAAACATTGCCACTCTCTCATAATGGCAATCGGAACATATAAACTTCTGCGATTTTTTATAGTCATTGTGGAACTGTTAATTTTCATAACTACCTTCTTGGTAGATGATTAATTCAGATATAACTAAAATTGTTTTTGAAATAGCAATTGTAATTCTTGAGTAAGTTCAGAAATTTTAATGGTCAGATTTCAATATTTGTCAAATTCATCTTGAATTGTTTGATGTGTACATAAAATACACAACAAAATCATAATATTTAGTTATTTACTAAAATGTATTCTATACTATGGTTTTAAAACCATTTGGTTGCCAGTTTTGCAAACGAAACGAAATAAACATAGTTGAATTTCTGCTGAAGTTAATAAATGGCTATAACTCTTTTTGACTGGGTTACCATTATTATTATTATATAGGATGATTTCGATTAAATTTCAATTGTGTTTGTGTCATTATTATTTTATTATTTTTCGCTGGATCCAAGCAATTGTTTCTAAACCATCAAGGATGAATAAACACGAAAAGTTGACTGAAATGAACATACAAATATTTCGTTGCTAGTACCTCAAAATACTTTTTTTAAAGATGAAAAATTTTGGCAAAATTCGAAAATTCATTCTCTCCTCAGTTGTGGCGGTTATTGTAACTTCCATTTTAAAAATTAGCCATCGATATTTGTTAGTGTGACATTGATGTTCCTGCTGCTTCTTCATACCTGAACCCAGGGTCAAAACAGCTGATGAAGTCTGTTAGGAAACATTGCTGCAGATTTTTTCAGCAAAATGCTTGAAGATAATTCAACTTAGTTATATGACAAGAAAATTTACCTTAAATTAGATACCTCCCGAGACTCGCTAAAAATGAGCATACATGATGAAAAAATGCCCCAATCAAAATAATAAAAAAAAAGTTTTGTCAAAATCTTTAAGAGGAAAAACCAAAGGATTTTATTTTTATTTTTTTTTTAAAGAACTTTAAAAATTTTTGGTATAATTTTTTTCATCGTGTCAGTGAGTGACTATAAGGAAATTTTAGTGTCTTTTTACGATGAAAAACGTTGATTTAGAAATTCTTGAATAAAATCAAATAATTATCGGACTTTAATGAAACTTTGAGAACTTATTCACATATGAATCTTATTAAATTATTTTAGAAACCTTTCTTTTTTAGAAAATCTTGACAAATCTTCTTTTCTTGCATCTGTTACTTTGTGCTATTACACTTCCCCCTTAGAAAGTAAAACACAACCAGATAAATTTATGAAATGAAAAGAAACTTATTTTTAAAACAGAATTTTTTTTTGTGTGTATAAACATGCCGATTTTTGTAAATACGGACATTCGTACACAGCATGATCAGAAAATATAGTAAAATTAAAGTCAAATATGTAAAATTCAATAAAACACTAGATTTAGATAGGTACCTCCATGAGATCACTAAAAAAGAGCATAGCATGATGAAAAAGATGCCAAACTTGACGAAAACAAAATTTTATTGTCTAAATGTTTGTTATTATTAAGAGGAAAGATCAAAGTATTTTTGGTATTTTTTCTTACATTTTTTAATAATTCCTAGCACGTCCAAAATTTTCATTAAAGATTTTTGTTTTTTTGAGTCAGCAAAATTGACAGATAATCAAACATGTCAACCATTTTTTCCATTTTATAAAAGAATGAAAATCTCAGTTTGAAATTCTTTTAAAAATCAATTATAATTTTTTCAAAACTTATTTTAAGAAAATCAGAAATTATGTTTATTTAAAATATTTTGAAACAAGCATTATTTAGTTTCTGCTCTGAAAAGGTGCATTTTGAAAATAAAACAAAGCAAGTCATAACATTTCGCGTCACTTGACAGGTGTTGAATGACGTATTGATGGATTACGTGAGGATAATTTATTCTATGGAAGGAGAGAAGTGAAATTAATTAGATTTAAGTGAACAAATTATTTACCTCGTTATTTTTAAAGAAAACTTTCAGCGCTCTAATTTTGTTTTGTTTTTTTTCGTACTTAGCTTTCACCTTTACGTTTACGATGCTTTATGGAAAATATAAAGAAATTAAAATAAAACTGTTGAGAGTGAGATTAAATTTCATAAGAAAGGTATCTAATTAATTTATAGGTACCTTTCTTATGAAATTTTATCAGAAGTGTACATAAAATACTATAATTTTATGTACATTTATTGCATTTTACTGTGTTATTTGTATTTCCATACATTTTATTATTAATTTTGATATTTCATTTATGGAAAAATGTCATAACTGAGATTAATATAAAAATAAGATCATATAAATTTCATAAGATGATACTGATACTTCTCAGTTGAAATTGAAAAATCAAATTAACACGTGTTTCGCAAAAGTAAAGGCCTTAACAGCAGAGAACAATGCTTAACTCAAATAACGCAACTTAATTGTATTCTAATTGGTCTTTCGTACTTTATAATTACAGCCTGATTATAAACACAAATTAAAAAAAAAAAATCAATGATTTGCTTTCCTCAAAGCCTTGTGCTTTTAACTAATATAATCACTAAACGGAATGTGACTGAATTTCTAGAGTTTTCATAAAATTAGTTATATAAAAAAAATATTTTTTCCATAACTTTAAAAAAATAAAATATATGTATAATAATTTCCATTATTTGTGAATAGTTTTTGAAAGTTTCATTAACATCCGACAATTATTTTTATTTTTCCAAATTTTCCAAATTAATGTGTGTCATACAAAAAAAAAAAAATGTGCTGAACAGTTATTTTACTAGTTCTCATGGTGATACCTAGATTTAGAATATTTTCCTAAATTCTTAAGCTTACTGGGTAAAAAAAAAAAACCTATATAAAAAAAGGTGCTCACATATTCCAAGTAATTTTCACAGATATGTCCCCCATTAGAACAAAAAAAAAAAAATTAAATTTCCCAAACATTAAGCTGTTACTTAATATTAACTTCTGTGTTGTGTTAATGCTTTTCTGCAATATTTTAAACTGAAATTAAGTAATATTTGTTTCCAATCAGATTAAAATCTATCACTTAATCTTCCTCAAATAGTTTCAGAAAAGTATTTTATTTAAAAAATTTTTTTTTTAGGATTTTGTTGTGCTGAGAGATGTGGCTAAAATCGGCCATTTTTAGTGTTATTTTTTTTTAACAAAAAACTCATTTCAATCAATTTAAGTTCGGTTTGAAATAGACCAGAGTATTTTGCTTATTGGGAATATTAAATTCAATCTATTAGTTTGAAATTAAAACTAACATAAAAGCTTCTAAAAAGATTTTTCATTTTTAAAAATTCATTTTAAACCTTAGATATCACTTTTTTTTTTCTTCTTTTTTGGTGGTATCTACTTATAATTTGTTCATCAATTACATTTTCTCACTGCTGAACATATTTTAAATATATGAATATAAAGTGGCAGGGGAAAAAGACTCTTATCTAATGATTTAATATTAGAGACATGTGAAAACTCAAGTTTTATAAGACTAGTAACATAATTTTATTAATACGCAATTTCTTTTTAGTGTTTATACTGTGTATTTTTCCCCCAATGTGTTAAAGCTCGGTTCAATACCAACTTTTTTTATCTCCAAGTACTAACTTTTGATTTTGTTTTTAAATAGTTTGTATTTATTGATTTGTTTTTACTTTTTTTTTATTATATATATATATATATATATATATATATATATATATATATATATATATATATGCCCCAAACTTAACAGTTTTATCAAAATCCTTATTAAGAGGAAAGACCAGAAGATTTTTGATGTATTCTTTTTAGAACCTTCAAAATTTTGGTTAAAAAATGTTTTTTGTTTTTTTTTTTTCTTCTTTCAATATGGGGCCATAAATTTGTAAATTTGAGTGTCTTTTTGCAGTGAAAAATTTTGGATTTGAAAATTCTTGCAAAAATTTCATAATTGTCAGATTTTAATGAGACCTTCAGGAATTATTCACATTTGTATGCCTTTTTTTTTTTTTTTTTTTTTTAAGAAAATCTTGTTAAAAATTTTTTTGTTAGAGTTTACTTATTTAATTTGATGAAATTTCAAATTCTTTTTTGTAGTGTTTAATGTTATAAAGACAAGTCCTAGGAGAAATTAAATCATTAAATATTTTTCGTCAAAAAGGACCCTTAATAAAATATGCACACTAAGACATTATTTAATTAGAAATGCTTTTAATTGCTTTTATAAATAAAATATATTATGGACAATATTGTGTTAAGAAAAAAAAAAAATTTTGATAAATAATGAATTTTTACAAGAATTGTTTTAATTTTTTAATTTTAATTTTTTAATTTAAATTAGAATAATTCAAAAACTTTTAAAATTCCATATTAATTTGTAACAGTGATATTGTTATTAAATAAAAATTATATTTACTAATTCTAAATGGAAAATCTTATTACAATTCAACAAACCCATACTTTAAAAAAACTTTAATGAATTTTTTTTATGTTTGTGTATAAACATGCTGATTTTTGTAAATATGGATGTCTATACATGAGATTCGAAAAATAAGAGCACTAACTATAGTGACTCTAAAATTTATTTCCTCAACAAATATAAGCCAAAGTAACTAAAATTCAATAAAACATTAGAATGCTTAAAATAGTTTAATTTTTTAAGATTACTGAGTAGTTTAAAAAAAAAAAGCCTTTACATTGTATTGTCATGTGATTTTACTACAATTATTTCCCCCTTACGTAAATCTTGCAGACATCAGGTTATTGATACATGTGTTAACACCTTATAAAAACACACAAATTCCATTTAAAAAAAAAAAAAAAAAATGCTTTTCTGCAATATTTTAAACTAAAAGTAATGTTTTAATTCAGATTAAACTTTAAATCAGTTAATCTTCCTTAAATAGTTTCAGAAAAGTATATTTTATTTTCGAAAGATTTTCTTTTTCTTTTATAATAAAGAGAATTGTTGGTGATAAATTTATCAATATGAAAGATTTTACTAAGAATAAATCATCCAATCTGTTTATATTCAGTTTGGAATACAGTAAAACATTTTTGCTCATTGGAAATCTTAAATTTAACCTATTGGAATTAAAACTAAAATAAAAGCTTCAAGAAAATTTTTTTCATTTTTAAAATTTATTTTAAACCTCAGGTTACACTTTTTTTCCCTGAAGTACCTTATAGGAAGGCACAGTGGAGTAATGGATACCAGCTCAGATTGAAGAATCAGAGAGCTGAGTTCGAATTCCAGTTGAATCCATTACCTTCACTTACATGCTAATACCCTTGGGAAAGGTATGAATCCTCCTCTTCTCCCCCTAGCTATGACAGAGAGGACAGACCGGGTTCTATAGCCTTGATGGCAACTGGTCTACTGCAGAAAGAAATGGCAACCTACTGTGGGGAAAAAAACTGCCTCGTCATTCATGTATTGAAAGTTACATGATCGAATAAGCGTGTATCACGTATGGCACATGACTGATATATATATATATATATATATATATATATATATATATATATATATATATATATAAACAATGTCGGATTTAATCCATTTCCTAAAAACAAATAGTTTTGTTTACATTAGGATACAATATGGAACAGATATGGATGTTTTGAGAATTGGCAGAGAGGTTTATGTTCAAAAGGCACTATTCAGGCTTTGTTTGACTGGAAGTCTTACATTGCCGAGCACTCAAGCACATCAGATCCAATGAATCCTGCTGGAGGATGCATATTTTTCTGATTATTTTCTTGAGTATTCATGCCAGTAGATATAATAGGATGAAAAATACTGTTTAATTAAAAAACAGAGCTTCTACTCAAATATGAGTATCCATCAAAAATAACATTTAAACAAAATAACTGAAAAATAACAATATGCTGGATTTAATTCATTTCCTATATATATATATACACACACACACACACCTTATTTGATAGGATAGATTTTTTTTTTTTTTTTTTTTTAAATATATACCTTTTCCTCTGTTAGCTTTAAATGTTTCCCTATTTTCTATATTCATTTACCTTTGTTGGAAAAAAATTTTCACTGCAGTTTAATTTTGGGAGATGATTTTAATATCACTTAACATTTAATACTGATGAGGTAAAGATGTTGCAATTGGGTCACTTTTTTTTCTTTTTTTTTTTTCCTTTTTCCCCATCTATATGACTAATGAATCTTTTTATACTTTTCATTATGTAACTTTTTATACATAAAAAAAATCGTTTCTATTGGGAACTCTTTGAATTTGGATTACTTTTTTAATTTAATTTTCTTGGTTCATTAATTTTTTATTCTTTATATTGAATTTGTCAAAATATTTATCAAAATTCTCTTCTATGGTATAATCATAGATGACTATCATTTAGTTAAGATAGCTGTCAACATAGAACTGTTCTACAAATTTTAAAACATTTTTATTCTTTTTATATACTTTTTGTACATTGTTGATTAAAATTAATTTACTGAAAAATTAATTTATTACTTATTTTATAAGTAAGAGGAAATAGTTCAATGTCTGTTTCAGTATCTTGTATCAACATTTCTGTAATTGTTCAGTCTCCTTTTACACCACTTTGATATCCTTTCTTTATGACAAGACAATGAAACAATTGGTATAAATGGACATCTTGGTGCAAACCCCACCAGGTAAGCCTTGTTGATGGCTCTTCCCTTCTAAATTTGAACAAGAGTTCCAACACAAAAGCATATAATAAGGTTGACTGAGATGTGAATGAGAATTTAGAATGCTTCCTGTTTACATGTACCACAGCAATGGTGGGTGGGTGGGGGTTGGGTAACCAGTACAAATTATTTATTCTAGTAAAGAACCTTTATTTGAATTGGGCCATAAGGGAAGTTAATTGATCCTAACAACTGCTTAGGACTGATTTCAGTTGATAGTTTTAGCACAGCACTTATGTCTAATCTCCTTTATAATTAAGCATATTGAGTGCAGATTTTCCTTGATTATTCTTTTCATTGTGCAGATTTAAGGGCTGGGCATTCTGTTAGCAGTTGGTTGTCAGTTTGTTAGGGTCGTGGTCCAAAAGTTTTAATTATACTGAGTTATGGTCCAGTATCCATCTATATCAGTGTTTCCCAGTCATCACCCCATTTGAGCACAAAATTTAGTTTTTTTTTGTCAATGACAAAATCAAATTAAATTTATAATATACTGAATTCATCTTTCATAGCAATATAATGCTTAGGTATCAATGCAATAATAATTTTAATATTGTTTTCATTTCTTTAAACTTGATGTTGATTAAAATTATCAGCATGCCAATGATTAAAATGCTAAAAAAAAAAATCAAACTTTTATTTGATAGCTTGCTCAATATTTTCAATGCAATGATTGACTTTGGTACTTACTGGCTAAGACTCTTACTCTAGGTCCCATGTTGCTTAGAAGTAATCATAGATGCCCTTGTTTTGTAATTTGCAGGTGGTTCTTTGTTTAGTAAGAAGTTGTGTAACTGCATTGAAATCACATTCAGTAATATAGGAAGTTGGAAAAGCAATGAAGAAAAGTTTGATAGCTTCCCACAGCTTTAGATACCTTTCAGAAATTTCCTTTTGGAGCCAATATTGAATAAATTCTTTTGGAGGGGGGAGATATGGATAAATACCTATGCCCCCCACCCCACCCCATTAAATAACTCCCAATGACCCCTTTTAACAGAACCCAGGTTGGGAAACACTGATCTAAATCCTTGCCATCTTACCTTTTGATTATCTTTCACAGAATGCCTCTCACATCAGCATAGTAGTCATGGAGAGGAACAAATATGAGACTGATTAATAATTGAAAGAGTAATCTAACCCTGACCCTATATTAAAAAAAATAAAGAAAAATTTCCAGGGACCATGTCTTTACAAAGAATTATCTTAACCATATTAAAATAATCTTTAATCAGCAAAAATTAACTTGTACAGGGTGCAGCAGAAATACCTGAAAACATAATGGTAAGATATTAGTGACAACATTCTTTATCTACCATTGTCTGCCACACCCTATATAATGTTATAGTTTCATATTTTTAAACTTTCACCGGCATCTTGCTAAGTATCAGATTTTAATGGAGTTTTCAGATCCATTCTAAATCAAATGTTAGAAAAATTTGCAGTCTATTGCATTTTAAGTATAAATTACTTAGAAATGATGTTTAAAAAATACAAATTAGTGTATGTTAATGTGTATGATTTTCAAATTGTCTTTTAGTGTTTTGCTCCTGGACATCTGATTTTTCTCTTCACACGATCTAAAACTAAAAAAAACAATTCTTTCTTGCTGTTAGGGTTAAGGTTCCAAAAACATTTCAAATGTTTCAAATTAGAAATAATTGTAGTTAAAAAAAATTTTAAAAAATAAAAAAAGCCACATCTTTAATCCCTTTGTTTTGTATGTTTTAAATCTGGATTATATCTTTTGTTGCCATGACCTTTTTGAATTCCTTAACTTTCCCCACCAGAATCAAATTCTTCAGCTGGTAACCACAATCTTAATGATATGAAATTCATCAACCTTGACTATGTGAAAGATGTTAATATGTTGGCAGATGCCAAAGAACCAGCTCCTCACCTGATGCCCCTCAACTTAGGAAAGGTAAGTCAAGCCATCTCTTAATTCCAGTAATGGTTGACTATATCAGTTATGGGTAAAATATAATCCCACCACAAATATAACATTCTTACTGACACATTGGTTAGACTTACATCCATGTAAGATAGGTTCATAAAATGTCGGATCAGACAGCAACTTTATTCTGACTCTTGCTACTTGCTTTAACCTTTAGTACTCTGCATTATTAATATTTCTTCCCTTTCTACTGCATTTTTTTTCAATTGCAGTATCCTTATTGTTAATTTCACTCAAAGATTTTTTCTGTTACCATTATTCAGAGATCAGTCACCTTCAGTGACAGGATAAACATTTTGTACAGCAAATGATGTCTCACAGAGAGTGATAAAGGTTAATTGTCAAAGAATTTATCAGCTTATGATATTGTAATAAAAAGCAAGAATAAGATAAAAGAATATTGGGAATAACAATTTCTATGAATTCATGCTACTTCTATTGCTACTACTACTACTAAATAGTATAATTTAATTTAAAAATCCTAAAGACATGAGTAAACAACCCAAACACATTTCTAATTTCCTAATATTGGTTTGTCAGGAAAGTTCAGGCTGATCTTTAAGGGAAATTAAAACACAAAATAAAATTATGCCTTTAAATATTTATTCAACTAAATATGAACTCTTTTGTTGCATAATCTTTCTCCATTTTTATCCGTCAACTTAAAAAGATTCCATCTTCACAGAATTTTGGTGGTTTTGCAGCAAAGAACTCGTACAGGTGTTTTTTTTTGTTTTTTTTTTTTTATGTCATCTGAAGAATTAAAATTTTTACCATTGAAATTATTTTGCAAGGACCCAAATAAATGTAAATCCAAAGGAGCAATGTCTGGTGAATATGGCAGATGGAGTAACACATCACAGCCAACCTGCAACAATTTTTGTCGGGTCACCAAAGAAACGTGAGGTCTGGCATTATCCTGATGGAAAACAACACTTTCCCTGTTCACTAATTCTGGGATTTTTTCTTGAATTGCTGCCTTTAATTCGTCCAGTTGCGAGCAGTACTTTTCAGAATCAATTTACTGGTTCCTTGGCAGAACTTCATAGTAAAGGATTTCTTTCAAATCCCACCACACTCACAGCATGACTTTCTTAGAATGTAAACCTGCTTTTGAGGTGGCTAAAGCTGGCTCATGTTGTTTACCCCAGGATCTTTTTCACTGAACATTATTGTAAACAATCCATTTCCCATCACCTGTCACAATTTGTTTAAAAAGGGTGCATTTTAATTGCATTTATACAGCAAATCACAGATTAAATGCGATCCAAAAGATTCCTTTCACTCAGATCATGTGGTACCCAAGCATCATAGCGATTTAAGTACCTAAACTTTACTAAATGCTCATAGTTGGTGGATGTTGATAAAGTTAGTGTTTCTTCCAATTCCTGCATTGTGTAATGTGGGTTATTCTCAATCAATGTCTTGATTTGGTCATCTTCTGTAATGGGGGGGTCTGTCTGAGTGTTCTTTGTCAATAAGGCTACAGTCACCAACTACTCTAAGCTTAGCAAACCACTTCTGTAAAGTTCTTTCAGTTAAAGCGCCTTCACTGTACACAGCACATATCTGTTTTGTTGTTTGTGAGTTTGTGAGGCATTTTTGCCTTAATAGTGAAAAAAAAAGCATGAAGTGTTTAAAATGCACCTTATAATCTTCCGTTTTTATAGGGTTGCAAAATTGACATGAATTAAGTAATTTTAAATTTTCTTTCTCAAGAGATAGTTTGAAGTGTGCTCTAATCAGAAATGTAAGCATATATCTGTTGATATCGGCATGGTGTAATGGTTAGTAAGCTTGTCTCGGTAAAACAATTACGACTGAGGAGTGAGTTCAATCCTCATTGGATGTCCCACAATTTCAGCCTTGTGCCACATCTAAGCTACGCTTAGAAACTCAATATTTGGGCACCTCGAGGCAGTGTAGTGGTTAGCAAGTCTGTCTCGCTAGAACAATTACGAGTGAGTAGTGAGTTTGGTCCTCACTGGGTGCTCCCTACTTTCGGCCTTGTGCCACATTTAAGCTATGCTTGGAAAATCACTTTTGATGAATTTGACATATGTTGGAACATGAAATACTAAAATCAGCATGGACTTTCCTGACAACCCAATAATAGACTTTCAATTTTGTAATTAAGATTGCAGTTCTAGTATCATTAAAAAAAAAAAAAAAAAAAATTACTTTTTTTTTTTTTTTTTCCTAATTTTAATCTATTTTCAATAGGAAAATGATGTTCATTAAGGTAATCAGTAGGCATTAAAATTTGTTTATTTTATATGTAGAAAGAAAGTCTGTTTTTAAACTGATCTTAGTGTGGAAGGGTGACTGCCTAAATTAGTTGGCACTTAATTTGATACTGCTTTTATATTTTTTATTTATGCACTACAATAATTTTCCTCTTTGGTTGAACAGGAAATAGTCTTATATTTAAAAATAACAACGAAAATATATGTGTCATTTTGCTTGTTTTTAAGACCTAAATTTGTATCAGATATTAAAATTTTTAAGCGTTTTAATTTCTGTAAATAAAAATCTTAAAACTTTTCAGTTTCTATGTTAGCTCTGAAAATTAACTGAATTGTGAAAAAAATCAAATTAACAGAACCTTGAGACAGTATAGTGGTGAAAGAATTTGAAAATGTTTGAAATATGGGGGCTTTAAGCTGATCCAAAGTGAGAAAATGTACCTTATCTCTCATCAAAATTGTTGATAGACATGACAAATTATAACTGGTAACATTTCCTCACTTCATATTATGGATGTCAAAATTGTACAAAGATAAGATTTCATGAAATTAATACTGAGTTTATTTACATTCAAAAAATGTTTTTGCTCACTTAACCTTTATTACTCTGTGACTTCATTTATGGTGCAAAAAGTTTATCCTGCCCCTGAAGGTGACTCTGGTCTCTGAATTTGTTTGAATTTCATAATTGTGTTATCATATCCTGCTACGCAACAGAACACACTGAAATTAATAAGGTTACTGTAATTGAGAGACCATTGAAAAAGAATGCAGTGAAAATGGAAGTAATATTAATAATGCAGAGTGCTAAAGGTTAAAAAGGAATTTTAAATAATTACAGAAAGTACAAAACTTTAATTAAAATTCAATAATTCACTAAATTTTCTTTTAATTTTTTTTATTTTGTTAATGATATCATCCATCTGTGAAATGTTTTAAATTATGTGACATTTAACATAATTATTCAAATACAAATATCTCCGGTTTTATATGATGTCATTTTTTTTTTTCCATGGCACAATTTTATGAATATTGAATTTAACTTCTATACACTGTTTTTTGTGAACCTATTTATATGAAGAGCTAGAAATTTGATTTCAATAGACCTGTTAATCAATTATTTCTAAATGATCTGCTTGTGAGTTGAAGGGATTTCATTTTCTTTTAACATTCTATTTATTAATAATGGAAAATTGTACTCCTTTTTTTTCCCAGTTGAGTAACCGTGTGCGGCAAAATGTGGAGGAGAAGAGACAGAAAGTCAATCACATTGGGGTTGGTGTCACACCCGAAGGACAAGCAGTATTCAATGCAATTATCAAAACGTAAATATGATTTTTACTTTTGCCTTTACTTTTTATTCTGCTCCGTCAGGGTTTGGAAATATCCTGTGTACCTAAAATTAAGAAAACTTCCAAATTTCCATAACACTACCATTAAGAATGAAGATTTGTTCTTGTTTGTTATCTTTTGACACAAAACAAATGTTTAATGTTAAAATTGTATTATGGAATCTTTTGAATTAAGATTACCTCACATCTCTACAAATGAATTCTTCCTATAAGACTTCCTCTTAAAATGAAATGGAGTTTTCTGTCTCGGTCACTCTTTTCAGTGTCTGGGGATTTATCCACATATCCTGACTATCCATGGTTGGAGTTTGTGCTCAGCTTCTGTGAACCATTTTTCTAGGCAACCTCTCCTATTGTGCTAAGATGAGAAGAGTCAATCCTTGATGACTGCAGTATTATGACAGATAAGTACCAAGGAGACTGAGCAATTTCTGTTATAAATCGCATTCTCACTTTAAGGACTTGATATGGCATTAAAGAACTAAACCCACTAGCCTTGTGCCATATTTCACTCAAGTCGACATTTGGATAAATACAGTCTATATAATTACTTAAGATTTGTCATTGCAAATTAGGAATGATCTCATTAATCTTCCTGAAAAGTGTTGTTGTTTCCCTATGGAATGCAAGCCATTGATTTGGCTAATTTATTTTTACTGCTTATCAAATGATGATTTCAGTTAGTGTAATTTCAAATCATCCACCATCATGGATATGATCAATTTCATCACCAGTTCCTCATCTTTGTTGGTTTGTTAAATTCTCATTTTGAGGTGTGCAAATTTTGTTAATTCCTGTTTTGGAATTAGCAAAGATGAACTATCAAAGTTTGTGCAGTGTGTGTGTGTGTGTGTGTTCATTAAAATCTTTTTGTGATTTTCATTTAATATTTTCACTTCCTAATTTAAAAATATATTTGTTTGTTCCAAAGGAACACAAATAGGATGTTTGATTTAATAAAGCTGATAACATTTTCATTTTAAATTTAATCCAAAATGTGTTGGTCATACAATCAATCATTTATGGTATTCAAAGGAATTCTTTAATTTGACTAATCAAATCTTTGACCATGATATCATATAAATTAATGTCAGTTGAGGGACGTAAATGAGTGAAAAATTATATATATATATATAAATTTTGTTTCAGTTTTGAAAATTGATTTGCTACACAAATTTCTAAATACAGGCATCCCTGATTAATGCATTTTTGATTAGTGTGCTAAGTTTTTATATACCAAAATTCAATTAGTGCTTACTTACAATTACTCACTTACTGCAGTAGAACATTCGTCAGTCTAACCGTAGTAATTGAAAAACGATTTTTTTTAATAGTTACCAACGTACAAAGTAGCAGCACTAATCAAGGGATTCTCTAGTGTCTTTCTGGTACTTTTAGTTGATCAACCAAATGTTAGCAATGTAAACAAATTTTGTACATTATTTAAATATTTTGGGGAAACGAAATTAATTAATTTATTTATTTTTATTTTTATTTTTTTTTCATGAATTCACCTTCCAAAAATTCTGTTACAATGATATTCACAAAAGAAATTGTATAGATGTGGTCTTCATTTTTTTCTCTACGTACTGTTGTAACTAATA